AAATCATAGCTAAATATGTAGCCCTAATTAATGCACTAAAAAAAACTATATTGAGGCATATTTTAATGCAGGGATGCTTTGCTTTAGCACTTCAATATTATTTTCAAATATTCACAGTGCATAAAGTGCAATGTATCTATTAAATCTTCCTAGAAGAGTTGAAACTTAGATCAGAAGTGAAGTTTAATTAAGCTGGCTGCCTGCAGATGCTATCGCTGTTTGATATGGGGATGAAGGCACTCAAAATGGCTTGGGGACAAAAGCAGGGGCTTTGGAGAGAAAGGAATCTGGGAAAGAACATATTTATATTTTATATATATACACAAATACATTCCTTTCAAACAGGAAAAAAATAAAACACTGAGTGCCTTTAAATTCTTATGAAACTGCATCACTGCACCTGATGAGCAAGTTTAAATATAGACAGATTAAAAAGCAAGGAAGAAAATGAAGATTTTCTATTAACCCCAAATGTTTCCAAACAAATCTATTAGAGCAGGCAGACATTTTAAGGATCCTTTCAGTACAAGTTAAAGCACATCCTATAATGCTGTGCCAAGTTAATACTTCGATTACAATTGAAGCCCAGATTTAAGAAATTCTATCATTTAAGATGGAGAGGAAAGGAATTAAAGAAATAACAACAAAACATATTAAGAGTCAACTGAAGGAGAAATTAACTCCTCAAATTAGCAGTACACTGTGGCATTTCAAAATCCAATGGGAACAAAAAAAAAAAAAAAAAGATGCCAGCAGGTTGCCCCTTCTTATAGCAAACAGAGCAAACCCAATCAGAGGAGCGTGTTGCTGAATCAGTCAGTCAAAAGCCACAGGAGCACCATTGCAAAGTGAATGATGTCTAAAAAGAGTGTTTTTTTTTGTTTTTTTTGTTTTTTTTTTTAAAAAAAAAAACCTATTGTACTGGCTTGAAACTTGGCTATTCACCCACAGAGGTGATAATAGTGTCACTAGTAAGGTCTGAGAGAACAGCCTGTCAAAACCCCAAAGAATCTCAGGGTCAGCACCCAGGAAAACTAGAAAGAAAGTTTTAATGAGAGATTAAAAAACCCACTAGAGCATTAAGACTGCACTAGTGCATTTAAAATTATATGTTTCTGTGCAAAAGTTTACCCTATGTGTAGGAGAGGAAGTAGGCTATTCAGTTCTACCCCACTATTTCATGATTTCTTCAACTTTCAGTCCTAGACTTGAAAAAGACCACGATAGCTCCCTGCTCCACATTTCCCTTTACTTAAAATAACTGTCTGTACAAGAACACTGACCTTCAGAAACAAGGCAACGACCAAGAAAACTTTGGAGCAAACTCACTCGCGAGCCATGGAATTAGATGTAAAACCATGGGAGTGCTCATTCTGGAGAGGAGCTCAACAGAGGGACAGAATATGGTGATATACACATAAAATATTGAACGACCCAGACAACACAGAGGAAGTTCTGCTTGACCAGTCTTGGGAAACCAGAACAAGCTGCTGTTCAAAGAAATATTTAGATAGTGAATTGAATACCAGACAATGGAGGTTTTTGCTCAGGAAGCCACCAACTGCTGGAATGTGCTGCCAGAAAACATCACATAGGCCCACTGCTTACCTCTGCGACGAAATGACCATCAAGCCACAAGAGAAAGAATAAAATACAAAAGAAAAAAAATCTGAAAGAAATATGCATTTTTTCAGAACTAAGATATCATCTAAATATAGAATTAAAGCATTTTGTTAGGGAGATGGTTATTCCACAACAGTGGCTGTAGGTTTTTCCCTGAACTTGTCTCTGAAAAGTCTGCTAGGGCTATTTGCAGGTGACAGCATGGACTACTAATCCCATACACTTTCACAGAGACACACACTAAACTTATGTAAACCTATTTTCAAGAGTGAGCTGTCAAAAGGGCCTCGGAAATCAATACACGTGGATATATCACGTTAAACAAGTAGTGCCGTTCCCATCTCGCTGCACTCGCGGTTTCTGATGTTCCCAAAGATTGTACTGAAGAGGTGCTACATAAAAAATCTCGAATTTCATAGAGAAAGAAAACGAAAGCTGTGCTTTATCATTGAATCCTACCAAATAACCTTGAAAGCAGAATGAGAAGTTAGAAAAGCACCTTTATCATAACTGCAAAGCAGAAATGTCAACTATTTGCTTGAAGTTATATTCGTAAGGCAACACAAATGGAAAAATGGATGTCATCTCATCCAAAATACTGCACAGCCATCTCGAAGGAGCTTCTGGACTTAGGAGTGATTGGAAGGGAGGAAAAACTTTTTCCCCATGAGGACAGACGGGCAGCAGAGCAGGTTGCCCCAGGACACTGCGTAGCCTCCATCTGCGGAGGCTTCCGAGACTTGCCTGGATAAACCACTGGGAAATCCAGTCTGGTCTCTGCTCGGAGTAGGTGACCTCTGGAGATCATTGCTTGACTTCTCCTGCAAGACTATGGTCATCTGAGCAAAACACAACTCGCAGTTAACTAGTCAGAAAACACCCCGGTGAGGAAGTTGCAAACAGCGGATGCCCAGGAGGGCAAGGATTATAGCTTATCAAAGTGGAAAAAATCATCATCATCAAAAAAAAACCCCACACACACAAAAAAAGACCCACAGACTGAAAGGTTTTAGGTCAAGGATGACATACCCTGGCTCATTGCTCAAGAGGGGTTCGAATGACTTCTCTTGGATAAGGCATCCTATCGCTCTCCAGGGAGAGCGCAGGATAGAGTATCGGTGCTATAGAGCACGCTGCAACGCTGACCCGAACAATAACGCTGGATGGAGTGAGATATCCCTTTCAAAGCTGCTCTCAACAGCCTCACCACTATTGCACACATGCCAAAATATCTTTTTTTTTTTTTTCCCCCTTCAAGAAACATGCGACTGTCTCTGGGGGACTCCTTTCCTCTATGACTCTATCCCAAAAATCACAGTGTGATGATAGACATCCAAACTCTATCAGCAAGAAGGAGCATGACTATATAAAGATACTAGCTGCCTCCCCGTGACCCTTTCTTAGGGCCACCGGCTTGCTTCAGACAAACTGTATCTGCACAACACAAGCAAACATAATAACAATCAAGAAAAGCAAGTCACACTTAAGCAAATGTGACTATTTTCATTGCAGTATATAGGACATCAGAGCATGAGCAAACACGTCCAGCTTCCACTGGACAACTATTTTCAACCCCGATCTCCCAGTGTGGAAGGCTGCTTGCTGTTGAAATGTGTATTAAACTCTGCACAAGAGAGTCGTCATCTTCTATCCTAGGTCCCATTAGCTGGATTTGATGTTCAAAAAAAAACTCCACATCCATAAAAATTAGCTACTGCGCTAAAGGAGACAAAATGGTTCATTGAAGTAAGAACAACAACAGGACCTACACATGCTAAGAAAAAAAACAAAACAAAACCACACACACATACATTTTTTAACAAAAAAATCCGTAAGAAAGATTTGGGATACAGGCAAGTGTGCTCAAACCCCCTGGGCAAGATGGTGTTATCTAGAGGCTATAAGTATGAATAGGATAATCAGAAACTAATACTTTGGGCAATACTAATCGCCCAAACAACAAAAACAGCAAGGCTATTAACAAGTGAAACAAAAAACAATCTATGGCTTTTCCTTGTCTGCACCTGAATTTTGACCTCTAAGGAAGACTTTCTCCTACCTTCTCTTCCCAAACTCATCTTGGTTCCCTGCCTCTTGCTGTAGGTTGCCTTCAGCCTGACCACAAATTTGTCACCTACAAGCTAGAAACGGCACCAGGAGCTCTGCACCCATAACCAGCTGAAAAACAAACTGGATAGTCTTAAGTTCTTCCAGCATCTCAAGGCAGAGGGCCACATTATTCCTCCCACATTTCCTTGGCTGCTCCAAATCAAACCAAAACTGAATCTCTTTGACAGCACTGACTCCCCCTGCTTTGTATTCCCAATGTCTTACCTTCAAGCCAAAGATTTCCCTCCAAGTCACAGTCAGTGGTCTTGCTTAGCTGCTTTAATATTTCATTTTGAACAGAACAATGTTGGGTATTTTTCCTAATAACTTCTGCTCTACAGAAGCTGCTAGACTTCCTTTGCTCAATAGATTTGTTCAGCTTGGAGAAGTCTTTTATTTAGATCTGAGATCTATTAAAGATTTTCATAGAGGTAAATAAGGCAACACTCAGCTGGTTTATTGCTATGTGTCTCACTATAGCAAGAGCATTAATGATCCCAACTTTCCTTTCTCTAAAGGAAAAATACTGTAGATCAGGAGTCTCTCTCAAACAGCAATATTTAATTTATTTATTGAAATGGCAGTTTCTAAACTAAAAAATACCTACAAACTTTAGAAACTGCCATTTCAATAAATAAACTAAAAAATAGCTACAAATGGTGTTTCCATGCCTTCTCTTCTGCACCTGTAGTTCACATGCACACACAGAGCAAAATGCTGTGGAGGAGCCTGCATGAGTGATTTGTGGAATCCCACACACCAACCAGCCCTCAGCACTGTCAGATCTGCCCCCAGCAATCTCATGCATATATTTTACACATCCCACATCCAACACAAAGTGAAACACTTTACAAGCAGGCATCATCTTGCAAACAATTATTCTCACTTATCTCCTGCCACTGAGTCTGAAGAAAATATCAGTTTCCAATACTGTCAGAAATTCATTCACCGCAGAAAATAATCACTTGGAATGACTCAGAGCCCAAAGCGCTTGACACCAACGCTCCATTCAGCTCCCACTGTTGTCAAGCCCTTCCAATCCAGGGCACTTGCACATAGATAGACCTTAACCTCAAGCAAGTCATTCACTCCAACGTTACCTCAACGCTCTTCTCCGCCAACTCATAAGGCTGCCTCAAAACACCAGCCTGACCACGTCTTTCATCCCTCCTTAAAGACTTCAAGTATTACAGCTATTCCACCACCAATGCTGAGATTGGGTACACTGGAGAAGCAAAGCGATGGAGAAAAAGCAGCAGTTACCTCAGTAAGATGTGGGTTGGGGTTGAATCCGCACTGGTTGCAGACTTTGTTGTGACACTGCGTACAGGCGTTGAAGTTTGGCTGGTTGGGGGACGAGAGGAGTTCTGTGGTCTTGCATATAGGGCAGAGAGTGCTGCTCGGAAGAGGGGCGATTTGAGGAACGGAATAAGGTGAGGTAGGGGTGCTGCCCCGATCCGGCGATGCCGATGGAGATCTTCCCGATCTCTGGCCCCTGCTGTCCACCTGCAGCGTCCGTCTAGGCCCATCCGCCTGTTGGCCGGGCTGGCCGTGACCCCTCATCTCTCTGGTGCTTTCTGAGCTCTGAGCAGCCTGCGTGAGGGAGGGAGAAGCTGATCTCTGTCCAGCTGGCTGATCCAGTTGGTCTGGTCTTCTTGGTGCACTGAAATATCATTAAAAATACATGTACATAAGGCAATGTTTAAGATATTTAAGTCATCGCACTCTATGCTGAAAATGTAGTATCTCTAAACACAGCCCACTCCCCTTCCACAAAGTCCAGGTCAGTCTGTAGGCACAGCAAAAAATATTTTGCAAATCACAGAAATTGTTTGAAATCGGTGAAAGTTAAGGCGATGCTTTACCTTACAAAATGAGGCACAATTGCAAGCAATTTCAACTTTCTCTTATGTAACTTGGCAGCAGAGATATAATTGAGTTATTCCACGTACCCTGAGAACTGCAGTCAGAAAGTTTCACAGCAAATACAACGTGAAGTACATGGTAGATCAGCCTACTGCCAGCAAAGGGCTCAGGATTACACCTTTCCAAGGCAAACTGGTGTGTTAAGAGGCAGAAGTAACTTTGATTTAAAGAAGAACTGATTGCAGGGCCCTTTCCGTGCAGAGACAGCCAACACCCACTTAGCCAGCTCCTCACAACCTACTTTCACAAAATTCTGCACAGCAAAAAGACTGAAAGCTGCTAAAGCTAGTGAAGAAAAACACTTACAGAAGCCCCAAACCCCTCCCCACAAGACATGGCCAAGGAACTGGTCACACTTGCTTGCCGGTGCAAACCACAGTTAAGGCTTGCCTTAGCTGTTTCTCCAATGAGCCCCAGCTGGGGCAAATTAAAAGGGAATGCAAATGAGCTCCATCTTATCTAATCATTCACCTTCATGGGGCAAAAGCAGCTGCAAGAGGAGTGTGAAAGAGCTGGTTGCTCCCACCTGAAAGCTCTTCCATGCTAAGCAAAATGGTCCTAAAACAAGCTTCAGGTGCCCAAAGCTTAAGATTTTATACTTTTAAATAAATCCTTTGTAAAATCAAGCTTCTAATGTGATTCTTTCCCAGCTGTTACCATCATGGATCTGCATCCTCCTTTCTTCCCAAAAGAGACTCTCAGAGGCCACCAAGTTTCATGGCTCTGCAGCCTCCCATGTCTCCTTCATGCATTCTTCTACGCCTCTGATGCTAAATACCCCAAATGGCTGAAGAATATCCTAGATTTCAGCCTAAACTGTCAGCCAACAGCTTCAGAATGGAATATGGTTCTTAAATACTTCCCATTCGGCTGGAGAACCCAACACTAACTTCTTATCTCATTGTAGATGAACGTTCAATAAAATGTTTCTGTACAGCCCACAGGTTCCTAGGAAAGATTTACAATGGAGGAAACTTGTGTCATAGAATTTTAGGTGACAGAATAAGCTGAGGCACTTACTTAATTACCCTCCCAGGACCACTTCTGCAGCAGACAGAAACCCTCATGTCCTCACTACCTGCAACCTACAGCTGTTCAAGGAAACTATGACTCAGAATCTCAACTTTAATAAATTGTTGACTTACCCAAGCAGGGTCTGACCTTATAAAGGTTTTAAAAGGGGAACCTAAATGCATAAAACTAATGAAATTCAAAGTGCACGTTGCCCACAGTTAATAGCAACACACCAGGAAAATAAATAGTAAAATAGCACGTTGGGAATACTCCGCAGGCCCCAGTGGAAAAGCAGATCTCCGAAGGAGGAATCAGACGATAAACTCAAGAATGAGAGAGGAACTGATCCGCTCAGGACTAGCCAGCCAACGCAACTGGCGGTGCAGCTAAATACCTGAAAGGAGGTAGCAGACGGTCCAAGTGACACTCAGCCCTGTCACTTCTCCTGCCGTAAAAGAACGTAGGAAGCTCGGACGCGACCCAGCCCTTCCCGCGCGCGCCGCTGAGAGGCTGGTTCAAGTGACCACCATGGTCCTTGCATTTTACCTCAGTCAGCTCTTGATCCACAAACCCCCTGGAAACCTTGCAGAAGGCAGCAGCAGGGTGGCTGCACTCGGCGTCTGGCCCTCTGAGGTTGCTTAGTGGCCTTCTTGCCCCTCAATTCATTTGCAATATATCCTGTTCCTATCAAGTAGCAGGGTTATCCATATAGGTATCCCTTCTTCTACATCCAGTTGAATTCATGAGCTCAAAATATCACCTAGCGTGGATGTCTTTTCCTAAGTATAGAACTCTCCACCTTCCAATTTTATGGGATATTCTTTTTTTTCTTGCCGTAACAGGCAGTAGACAGACCTTTCCAAGCATATCATTCCCTTTTCTTTCTTCTCCCCATCTTTTTTCAATTGTAAATTATTTCAACCATCTCCATTTCTCTTTATACATTTTCCGGCTCCAAATTATTTCCAACATTCGCTGATGAGTGAGCCCTGCTGAGCTGGAATGACCCTGGCAAATGTAACGTCGTTAAATTTAGAATTAAGATCTGCCTTCTGATACTGACAGCAGCAAAATCACTGCAACGTAAAATGTTCGACATCCGTGCTGATGTAGCCAAGATGGGAATTCAGGCACTCTCAGATACAAGCCATACTGTCCCAAAGCAAAAAGCATTTTCTCTCTTTAATTCATATAAACCCAGTGTATTTGTATACTAGAGTGAATACAATACTCACAACGTAGTAACAAAACAGTGCAATAAAATTTCCCAAAATGATTAATACAAATGCATTCAAATACCTCATTTGCCACAGCAGAACTCTTATTCCAATGCAAATGTCAAAACGTCTTCTTTTTATTCCTGTTTTATAGGGAAGAAAAGGTTCTCACAATGTAGGAATTTGCTACTCCAAAATAGCTCTAGCCAAAAAGTGCTGCTGAATGATGGGTTTATTTCCTAGCAGAGGGAAAGATAGGGGAAAAAAAAAAAAAAAACCCTTATTGGCACTATCTATAGATCAAGTATATGAGTAGGATCATCTTTTTTTTTTGCTGCTAGGATGGGCTCCACAGAAAGGAAGTGTCACACCATGAACAGACGAGTTTACTACGTTCCTGATCCAATAGAGAGCCAGGGGCTCCCTCGAAATAGCAGCAGGACATCCCAGGTCTGTCTGTTTTGCTTTGGGAATTATTCCTCAGGGAAAAAGAGGTTCAGCTTCTCCAAACCTCCCTTTTTTTCCCCCCGCCGCCACAGCCTTCTTAAGCGCTGATGAAAATCTTAACCAGTGCTGGGCTGCAAACCAGTCCCAAAGGAATTGCCACCAGATTGCGGGCGGGCGGTTAGATTGAGATGTCGCTACGAGGCAGAATTTCGCCCGTCTGATCGAGCTCTATTGATTTTGCAAGCACCTAATGGGTTTAATCAGAGCATTACGTGGTACCAAGTCAAATATCATTGCGGAAATCCAAACATTCATCAACACTCTCACGTTTGTCAACAGTTTTAATTTTGTCCAAGAGAAAAAAAAATCCAACCGCATCTGACTGGGCTTATTAACAACAAAACCATCAAAATTTCCATTTATTATAGTCCATCTATTAATGCTTTATTGATAGACAGTCATGCAAATGTTTGCCTCCATCTGGCTGCCGTCACAGGCAGGTGAGTCAGCCTGCAGCATCCCGCTTTCTGGGGAGAGAAATCGAAATAAGATGAGTTTTCTTTGGGCTTTCTAAAACCCGTTCCATTTTCCAAAATGCCTCTGCCATGACATCAAGCAGAGCAATCCTCAAACTCCTCTCCCATCGATGCCACCCGTCAGGCCCCTTGGCCAGCGCGGGACACCCAGCTTTCCCAACACCCGCTGGAGTTGAACCGTCCTTTGAGCATTGGCCGCAGGGCCACAAGGATGATCAGGGGCCTGGAACATCTGCCCTATGAGGAGAGGCTGAGGGAGCTGGGCCTGTTCAGCCTGGAGAAGAGAAGGCTGAGAGGGGAATAAAAATTTTTAACAGTGAGGGTGCCAGAGCCCTGGAACAGGCTGCCCAGAGAGGTTGTGGAGTCTCCGTCTCTGGAGATCTTCAAAACCCGCTTGGACGCAGTCCTGTGCCACGTGCTCTAGGTGACCCTGTGTGTGCAGGGGGGTTGGACTAGATGACCTCGAGAGGTCCCTTGCAACCTTATGCATTCTATGATTCTATCATTCTATATATATGTGTGTGTGTATATATATAAATATAAATAAATATATAAGCAAATTCTTAGCTTGAGACGTATGACACAAGGGAATCACTCTAAATTTACTAAAATAGATTTAGCATTGGTAGTACATTTTTTTTTCCACAGATAGGACCTAAATCCAGAGCCTCAGAGACCCCAAGAGGTGCCAACAGCCTGGCTGGCCTGGTGGGGATTTAAATGTCTCCTGCTCTCTGAGCAACGGATCGGATTGCTACCTTATGGCATCTAAAAAGAGCACCATGATTGTCATTCACAAAGCAGGAGCCCAGCCATGGCTTTTCCAAGAGGAGCTGAATTTATCCAGAGAAGAGGACTCCAAGTTCCGGAGCTTTATCAAAAATAAGAGAGTCAGGACTGTGAAAGCACAGAGGGGGGAAAAAGAAACAAATGAAAGCTGATATGCTTAAAAAACAAGGTGATAGGAACATATAGGAACACACAGGAACATGAAAAGAGGGGAAAGAGGGAACACTGAGATCCCTCTACTCAAAAGACAGAGGCTTGAGCAATGCCCACGAATCAGAGCTGCTCCGTTCGGAGCGCGCATCTGACCTACTTGGTTTGACTGCAACCTGATGTGCACATTCACATGACTGATTTTCAGAATCACTGAATAAAAACAATTTAGGCAAAGCAGGCAGCTAAGGCAAAGGGGAGTTACGCTCTAGGTCAACACAAGCATTTCTGAGTCGCTTGCGACTTAGAAAAGGTAACTTTAAAGCTGATGGCTCAGCATAGGAACCGTGGGGGAAAATATCAGATATTAGCTGGTAAGTATTGCCTGTTACCAAGTCACTCTAGAAAATAGGGCAAGCAAACTCTTAATAAATAAACAGAAAAAGAGCTGTCTGGCATGGAGGGACTCCAGTTTCATCTGTGGGCACTGAGAGTTTCATAGCAGCAATACCAAAGCCTCCACACGACTGAGAATGTTGTGATGAGTTTCCGAGCTCCAAAGTACTAAATCCAACATAGAG